TATTGTCGGAGGGCGTTGTTTAGCCTGACTCTAGGGGGGTGCAGCGCTGCTTCTGTCTCACTNGGTGCAGTAGGAGAGGTTCTAAAGGAGCCTAGGATCTTCCTACACGCTTGGTACTGAATGGCTATAGGTTGTATAGAACCATGAGTCTCACGATGGAAGACACGAGTACCCTCGCCTTCGCCTATGCTGTCTAGTAGGCAGCTGAATGAACGAGGGACTAGCCTGATAGAGGCGAAATGAATAGACTCAAAACTTATGAAATTGGATGATTATATACTGTAGACGAAAGCCCGGATGTCATAAATCGTCCCTACATTCCAAGCTCAACTTACCTCCATTCTGTCCACATGAAGCTTTTGCTTATGCTTTTTCGGAAAGGATGAAGGTTTGGGTATCATGATTGGTTTCCCTTGCCAGGTGCCAGCAGCCACCCACTCACCAGTCCACGTAATATTTGACTCGTCTAACTTCATGTCCGCCAACACCTCTAACCGCTCCGATTCCTCCAGGGGCTCTTTTGCAGACGCTTTGACGGACTCGATGTTGTCCAACTCTCCGTTTGCCCAGCTCACGGAGCTAAGGGAAGGGTAGTCGGATTTGGCGTTCGTGACAGCGGCACGGGCGTGATCGATACGCGTGAAGACTATCATGCCTGAAGCTGTCCGATGTTTTTCTCCAGCATGTCGGATCTTTTTGTCTTTGAGAAGGACAACCATATCCACCTCGCCATACTTTGTGAACATGGTTGCAAGCGTATCTTTATCCCAGTGCTTTCCATCGCCTTCCCTCGGAAACTCAAATTTGACCGCGCGGGCCATTTCGGAGGATTCGCTCTTCTGGGATTCGCTCTGCTGGGTTCCCTGTGGCTCTGACCTCTTCCTCATGGCCTCGAGATAGGCCTCTCGCTCTTCTTGAGCTTCTTTTGCTAGGCGTTCGTTGATTTCGTGGTAACGCTTCCTGCCACCTTTGTGTATTTCATGAAGCTTCCGTTCAGTGTCCGTCATGTCCTCGGGAACCTTTCTCTTGATCCCAGACTTTTGATCTTGATACTCTTTCTCTCTCCTCTCGAGGTCTTCTTTCAGCTTGCGTCGTCGACCATCCAGCATCTCGTCCTGTAGCACCTTCTCGCGCCGCCTAGCTCTTGCGCGATCATACTCGCCTTTGAGGTTTTCATCAATAAGAATGTCGCGTGCCCATCCCAGAAGAATGAAGCGATCGGCAGCATTCTTGTCGTCGGGATTTTTATCCGGATGGTATCTGATAGACGCTTTGCGGTATGCTTTCTGGATAGCGTCTGCATCTGCGTCAAAGGCTACGTTGAGTAGCTCGTAGAAGTCATCCGTGGAGGACTTTGCAAGATCCTCCAGTTCTCTGTTGACTGACATTCCGGCAGTGTGACGCGACAACTACCGATATCTTAATAGTGTATGCGCCTGAGTGACAATGGAGATCTGCAGTATTATCTATGTGAAGAGAAGGGTTTAGGCAAGTGAGAGAGATGCGCACTAGCGCTTCCACTAGCGCGCTTTTTGTGTGTGCAGGGATCCCTAGGCAGTCATTATACCTGTTTAAGCCTGGGCCCATTGTAGCTTCCGACGCCATATCTTCGCAATTAAAAACTGGACAGCGCCAACAGTGTGCAACAACAGTCGTGGTTGCGGGACAACTGCAGGGGTAGTTACAAATCATTATCAAGGCTATCATATTGCTGCTACCCACCGCGGACACTTGTTGCATTGTTCTTCGAGGAACGATCGAGGACTTTCACTGCGCGCGTGGAGCTTTCGAGCAGACCTTCCTTCCAACGTTGATGTCCGTCGCATCATCGGTCAAACGCGCAGCTACAATCATGGCCACTTCCCCCAAAGAGGGTAAGAAAAAGGTGCTCGAGGGCATCTTCGCCGTCAACAAAACGCAATGGGCCTCCTCAGCCGGCGTGCTACGCGACCTGCAAGAGCACTTTGCTCGTTCATCGCTCCTTGCGCCTTGGCTTGAGAGCCAAAAACGGTCGCTTATCCTGTCGCACGCAAAACAGAAGCATATCAACAATCTCAAGGTAAAGCTTGGTCATGGCGGTACTCTGGATCCAATGGCTACTGGTGTCTTGATTGTCGGGCTGGGACGAGGCACAAAGTGCCTGCAACGCTTTCTGGAATGCACAAAGACGTATGAATGCGTGGTGCTATTTGGTGCCGCTACAGACAGCTACGACGCTGTTGGAAAGGTAGTTAGCAAGGCGCCATACGAACATGTCACAAAAGAGTTGGTAGAAGAGAAGCTGGCGCAGTTCCGTGGCAAGATTATGCAGAAGCCAAGTGTTTTCTCAGCGCTCAAGGTTGATGGCAAGAAAATGTATGAGTACGCAAGAGAGGGTAAGGAGATACCCGAGGTAGCTGCACGACCTGTGGAAGTGGAGGAGCTGGAGCTTGTTGAGTGGATGGAACCAGGAAGCCACGAGTACGCGTGGCCAAAGGAAGAGGTCGATGGTGTCGAGATGGAAGGCGCGAAAAAGCTACTTGGCATTAGAGAGGAAGATGCAAAGATTCATGCCAACACCATGGCGCGGAAGGGACGGAAACGATCACGTTCGCCAGAGAGCGATAGTGTAGAAGGAGCCGGGAAGCAACCGAAGATGCCCAAGTCAGAGACGGAGCCAGCCATGTCTGGTGCTTTACCATCACAAGATACGCCAGCGGAGGCAACCGAGACAATTCAGGATGATACTACACAAGCCGCTACTGATGCGGCACTACCCACACAGGAAAACCCAGAAACTTCATCCAAAGAGACTGAAGTAGCAGATCAAGCACAACCATCAAACGAGGACTCAGCCACATTCACACAGTCATCACCACAACCCCCAGCAGCCCGGCTCCGCATGACCGTCACATCAGGCTTCTACGTCCGCTCCCTCTGCCACGACCTAGGTCTCGCCTGCTCCTCCCTAGGACTCATGTCCTCGCTAATCCGCTCACGCCAAGGCGCCTACACACTGGGCCAAAACGTGATTGAACTCTCTGACTTCGAGTCCGCCGAGAAATGGGAACCGCAGCTACAGCAGCAGCTGGAAGAATTCATGGAAAAAGAAGGGTGGGAGGCTGAAGAGCTAGAAGATGAGGAGACGTGGCAGGCGAAGAAAGAAGAGCGCTTGAGTGAGAGGAAAGACGAGGATCGCGAGAGGAGTTATCGGGGTAGTGGTGGGGGCGGCGGCAAGAATAAGTGGAACAAGGGTAAAGGCAAATACTCGCGGAATCAGTATTCCAAGAACATGGATGGCGGGAAGAAGGAATAGCAGAAATGACGAGAATAATTTTACTTGTGTAAATACTGATATTGGTTCATATCTATTCTGCAAATAGAAAACAAGAAAGAAAAAAGGTTATATGACATATACCCGACCCTGCACCATATCTATATAAAAAAAAAGTCCGACACCCTTACTGCGCCGTGGACTCGAAAGGGCAACAGCGATAAATGCAATGCAAAAGGCTCTCAAAAAATAGATCAAGAAATGTTCAAACTTCCGACCTAGAGTTCCGCCGACTCAAACTTTGCCGCACGCTCTGAAAACTACCGCGTGCACTCGTATCCGCCGAACCCTGTACCTCATCCTTTCTATCTTCATGGTTGATGAAGAGGAACGAAAGGACCATGATGGCAGCACCCACCCAGTACAGGGCACTCGCGTACTGCGAATCCAGCAGCATTTGGCCAACCAACGAACACGGAATGGTCAAGCTGAGACCAACGGTAACAACGAGGGGAGACGTAAGGAACATGGCGTAGGCCCAGCAAAAGTCCGACACAAGCGACGATGCACTGTTGACAAGAACAATGTTGAGGATGCGCGTCGTGGGCGGGAGTTCAAATTGCTCGATGCCGGTAAGGTGGAGGATGATGAAACCAGGCCAGAGAAGCACGACATTGGCCAAGCCTACCAGCCCAAAGAAAAGCGGCATATTGACTTTTGTCTCGTCACCGATTTTGGCCTTCATAAACACAGTATAGAAGCCGTAGAGAACTGCCGAGACAAACGCCATGACGTCGCCAATCGCCAGTTCGCGGGGTGTTTTGTGAGGGAAGGTACCCCGGTTTTCGTCCGTGTCGCCAGAGACATCGACTAGGGATATCAGGACGACACCACTTAGAGATGCGAGAACGCCGACAAGCTTGAGCATGGTGAAGCGCTCCACGCGCATTATGGAACCGAGCAGGAGCGTCCAGATGCTCGATGTGGAAGACAGGATGGTGGAGCTGGCCACGGTCGTGTACTTAAGACAAGCTGCTGCAAAGTAATTTGCTAGGAACCAGAGGATGCAAAATTCGAGAGCTAGTTTGGCTGTATCGTGTAGTGTCAATCCTCCTTCGTCTGTCTCATGTCCCACATCTTTTCCCCTACCGAGGTTCAGGGATCCCGGGGCTGATGATGAGAGCAATACTTCGGTTGCTTCGTCGTTCCTGGACTCGTGCGAAGGTGCCAGGGAAGAGCTGGATTCGTGTTCGCGAAGTAGTGTCCATTTCCCTGTTCGTCGCTGCAAAAGATTATAGATGTGTGTGATAAATGGCTGCCGAGGCTGGCGCGCAGTATTTGGTTGGCGGTAGTCGCTCCATAGGCAATGCAAAAGCATGGGTAGTAGCGGTAGGATGAAGAAGGATGTGTTTACGTAAGTTACGAAGTAAGGTTTCGAGTAGGAGTTGTCTGCAAAAATAGTCTGTTCGTTCGTCAGTCGAGATGCCCTGCCGATGCGAAATGTCGTATTATGTAAAAGAGCAACGTACGCTGGCCAGGAAATTACTCGCAGTCCATAGAAACACGGTCGCAAGCAGAAATCCTATGCCGATGGCGTGTCTGACCTTGCCTGACCATGCTCCCATCTTATCTTTTCCATCCATCCACTGGCTGGCTTCGGTCGCGGGACTGTCGAGATAGTCTTCGGATCGCATGAATGCATTCTCGTCAGAGACATCACTGACGCGCGGGCTGGTGGTCGTCGGCTCGACGAGCTCTTCTCGCCGGGGTATCATGGTGGAGGGATGTGGTAGAGACTATGGCGAATGTGCTCGTGTGTTTGCGCAAGTCGGTCAGGGAGGGTCTTCGGGGATAAACGGAGTCAGGGCTGGAGATTGCGTCGACGCATGAAACAGGATCCAAGTGCCCATCAATTGATCAGTGAACGAGCGGACGCCAGGAGGTGGGCAGGTGAAGTTGCACGGAATGATTCGGAGGGACACGCGGACAGATGCGAAGTATTGCGTCGATTCGGGGGTTTCATTAGCCTTCTTGTCTCAGGTGGGCGTGGTTACGGCCCGCTACAGCCACCCACTGTTGCTGTGGCTTGCCGACGCCGCTGCGGCTATTCGGCCCAAGCCACGCGGTCATGCTTCTACTACCAACCATCGACATGAGCTGCACTGCTCGTATAGCCGAGGTATTCATATTGTGTATTTAGTATATGCAGCTACATAGACTCGAAAACGATGGAAATCCGTCAAAAAGAATACGTTGCAGAAAATGCATCTGCCACAAAAAGTATGCCAAAACACCAGACGCCATATCAACTCCACATGCAAGGCGACGTTTCGGCATAAACATATCCACTAATCTTGTCATCGGCCATGCCCGTTCCGTCAACGTGTTCACTAGCATGCGCAACCACCCTCGTTTCCCTTAAGGTCAATCGGGATCGTCTCGGGGAAGTCGTTGCTGAAATCGCCGACATCTTCTTGCGCCAAAGCTTGTCGTGCAATGACTACACGCATGTCAGTTACTAGAAACAGAATTTTGCAGTAGAGAGATTTCAAGTACCTTCAAAGGCTTGTTCGACGTTGATGGCCTCCTTGGCGCTCGTCTCGAAATAAGGAATGCCGCCCTTTGATTGGCAAAAGGCCATGGCGCGCTTGGACGAAATCTATGTCTATCAGACCAGTTCACAGACCGTGGGCACGATGCGCACTCACCATGCGTTTGCTTTCCTCCACATCAATCTTGTTGCCAATGACAACCTGCGCTGGTCAGTAGCTGCCCTGTTGCTGCATTGCACATGTCCACCTACGAATGGAAAGCTTTCTGGGTCCATGGGGCTAGCCTGAACAAGGAACTCGTCTCTCCAGCTGTCGAGCGTGTCGAAACTCTTGGAATTGTTCACGTCGTATACGAGCACGCAGCAATCAGCGCCACGGTAAAAGGCAACGCCCAGCGATTGGAAGCGCTCCTGGCCGGCCGTGTCCCAGAGCTTGGTTACGTTAGCCTCTTGTTCATTGGTACAGGCAGTGCATACACACCTGCATGGTGACGAGCCTGTCGTCAACGAGCACTTCCTTGGTCAGGAAATCGGCTCCGATGGTTGCTTTGTAGCTTGCGCTGAACTTCTTGTTGACCTGGTCACTTTGTATAAGCACTGCGATAAGGGTTTGGGCAGCTGCCTTGTCGGTCGAGAGTTGGACTGGAAGAGGTTCGTACATATTGGTTCATCAAGCTCGTTTTGCCGACCCCGCTGTCTCCGAGGATGATGACCTGGGCGCATTAGCAGTAGTTTAGTGTATTCCGAGAAGCTCCAGTACCTTGAGAAGGACCTTCTTTCTTGAAGCCATGGTGTACAGAGTATGTGGAGCGTGTGAGGGCTAGCGAGTGCGCAATTGACTCAAGGCGCGAAGCTCAGTAGTCTGCGACGTCAAGTCGAGTGTGGATGCGGGGTTATGTGACGACAAGGTCGATGGTCGCCGACGGGTTGTACAGCTCTGGGAGATGTCGTCTCGAGGAACTGAGGAAGAGAGATGGGAGTTTGGGGCGCAGGTACGGTGAGCAAGTGCGCAGCTATGGTGCCAACAATGGATGATGGTTGATGTCAAGGCTGCGCACGGGCCGCGCGCTAGCTGGCTGCCCCATCATTTGATAACATCTGAGCTTGGTCCAGCCGCGCGCGCACATGACCATGCATTCACCCCTGCTTCCTAGTATGGATGTGTAGTAAGTATAAACAACGATACGCGTTGCTGATAGACATTGGGGTATCGTTCGTTGCAGGTACTCAAAATCATATGTTGTGCTAACTATTGGATATTTTAGTGGTGTTTATGATATCACTGCATGTCTACTCTCTGAAGCTCTAAGTTAAAAAGATTTTAACTCAATGCCAGCGTGTGTATTGAAATTTGCACTCGGAGCCTAAATTTCGTGATAGCAATCTGAGGAGTAGCCTCTGAAGGATTAGTTCACAGCAACGCAGTTTGTTAGTGCTAATAGTCTCGATTTTGAGGCTTGCAACTTGAGTAATCGATGGTTAGAGAGGGATGGCAATCCTATAGTTTCCCACGGCTTGGTAAAGACTCGATATGGTTTTATCGCCTGTACCGTGCTGACCCGGCCTGTTGTCATTAATAGTGGTAGTTTTGTTGTTCGGAGATTCCTAATTCGTCGGGGTAGGGGTAGTCTTTGCCCGAATGCCGAGGCGCAGACGGGTATCATGTACAGTGACTGTGTAGAAGAAGTTGTTTCCAGGCGGGACAATCGGCATCTTGTAGGTGCATTGCCGGAGGAGAGCCGCGAGGAGAAGGCGATTGTATATAAAGAGAGGGTGCTGTAGCACCGGGACAGTGCACGGGGGCGTCACATGGCATGAGCAGCAGATGCTTGCCATGGCGGCAGTGCTGTGTACAATGGCTCTGTAGGCGCACGCCCGGGCGGTGAGGGCTGAAGTGGAATTGCAGGTCAAAGACGGTTTTCTGTGGGATTGGCCGAGTGTCCAGCGCCAGGCCTGAAGTGGCTGCCAACCCCCCGCGCTCGTGACTGGGGCGGGCGGGCGGCTCCCAATCCGGTGGGAGGCCGTATGTTGGTGCGCGTGTATGGATGGGGTGAATAGAAAGATGCATGCACGCATGTACAGTCAGCCACTGCGCGCAACTTTCACATACACACACAGGTTCTTCACTATCCAAGACCTCGCTCCTATCGGCGTTACTGCTACCACCGTGTGCCCACCTATACCCCGCATACTCAAGGCCAGGCCCATGCAGGTACCCATGCGGAGCCATTGACGAGCCACAGCCACAGCCACAGCCACAGCCCAGCCCTCAACAGCGGCCACTCCTCTCAGCCGCCGCAAGCCGACCGAACGACTGTCTGGTCCAGTCCAGTCCAGTCCACCACCAAATATGTCCACGACTGCCTCCAACACGTCTCCACCAGCCCGCTCCCAGACTGCCACGGCCCAGCACACTCGTACTTACCAGGCCTGCATCCCCTGCCGCCGCCGCAAGGTCCGCTGCGGTATGTCCTCGCCGTCACCCGACCGCCTGCGCAGTGCTGTTTGCTGATACCGCCCTCGCGGCCTCTAGATCTCGGCCCCGTCGACAATCCCCACGACCCGCCGTGTGTGCGCTGCCGGCGCGAGAGCAAGGAGTGCTTCTTCTCTGCCACGCGCCGCAAGAGAAAGACCGACGACGGCGAGGAATATGACGAAGCCGATGACTACGAGATCCGCAATGCCCGCAAGCGTCAGCGCTCCGATGGCCTGCAGGAACCCCTCACAATCACCACGGCCAACTCCACCGCCTACATCTCCCAGCCCTTGACCCCCGGCGGCTCCATCGGTCGCTACGAGCCTCTGCGCCGCCCAAACACGTCGGCTGGCCAGTCGTCGCAGCACAATGACGAAGAAGACCAAAAGGTAAACAACGAGACCCTAGCCACGCTGCAGACTGGCGAGGTCTACAGCGGACATGACGCCCTCAACCTGCTCTTCGAGGCTGCCGGCATGAACGCCCACCATCGCACCGGAAGCAGCTCCAGCCTCCAGCGCCCCAACCTTGGCAGCACCCCAGGCTCCCAGACAAACTTCGCCAGCCCCCGCCCCAACCTGTCACATGCCCGCACAAACTCGCGCCCTACCGTCGAGCCCTCGGTCGACCCTGCTATCCAGCAGCCCTTGTTGCCAGATCCCCCCAATGAAGCCGCCTTTGCAGACGCAGTGCGCGCCTGGTCCAAATTCCGCTTTGTTCGCGCCGGCTGGCTCACTGCAAGAGAAGCCATTGCATATATCGACTACTTCTACGCCTTCCTATCCCCACTCACGCCAATTGTCGTGCCAGACTACCGCGATCATGCCTTCCACGCAAAGCTGCTCAAGGAGGAGCCCATGCTTGTCATTACCCTCCTGACAATCTCAGCTCGCTATTCGCAACCCAGCGGATCCAGCGGTGTTGGCGCCACATCTAGGTCGTATCTCATTCACGAGAAGCTATGGAAGTACCTGCAGGGCATGATAGATCGCATGATCTTCGGTCAGGAGCAGTTTGGCGGCGGATTCTGTGGCGCCGGACAACAGCCTGGATCCGACGTGAACCCTCTGTCGCGTAAGGGTCTTCGAACACTCGGCACCGTCGAGAGTCTGATGCTACTCACAGAATGGCATCCGCGTGCCCTTCATTTTCCGCCCGGCGATGATGATGATGAGCTTGTTCTGCCCGACGATCCGTATGAGTCTGGTCCTAAAGCCGACATGTACAAAGAGGTCGGCGACAAGCGCATCGACAGCTGGCTTGAGCCGTGCTGGCGTAGCGATCGTATGTGCTGGATGTTGCTCGGTAATGCCATGACACTTGCTTTTGAGATTGGTGTCTTTGATGAAACCAACGAGACCGAGTTCGAGGAAGCCAACCAGCACTTGTCGCATGCCACAGTCAAGGCTTATTACCGTCGGAAAAACCATTTGCGCGATCTTCTGATTATATATGTCACGCAGACTAGCGGCAGGTTAGGCCTGACGTCCATGCTTCCCAAAATCGATCGTGACGAAAGCCTCACAGGCGCTCCTTCACCACTAGAGCTATACAAGGACCGCATCAGTCGCATCAAAGCTCCCCCAGCTCAGTTTGGCATGCGCTCAGACGGACAGCGCCTTCCTCTCGAGTCCATCGCTACACAGGAGCGCCATGCCATTCAGGATCTCGTACTTGACTTTTGGCAACGCATTGCCAAGATTATGGAGATGGGTAACCTCAAGTTGTTTTCAAACCGGCGCAAGACACGCGAGCTGCTCAAGACAGGCACGTACGAAGAAATGCTCAAGTTTTTCCAAGGACCTTTGGCAGAGTGGAGAAAATGCTTTGATCGAGCGCCCCAAGGTATGTGCAGTTTGACTCGTGTGCTTGATTACCTTGTGTCTAACTTGTGATAGTGCCTACTCAGCTCCGACACGTTCTCATCATTGAGTTCGAGTATACACGCGTCTACCTCAACTCACTAGCCCTACAAGCAGTTGTGGAGCGCTGTACACACAACACTCCACTCCAAACACATGCACAGCCCAACGGCGTCAATGGCCGTGCTACCAACGGCAATGAGGATGGTGGAGCAATACCCTTTAGCACGCTGGTCAAGTGGTATGCTAACGACCGCCACTACATCAACGAGGTCATCGATGCATCCCGCAACGTGCTCAAAGTTGTCGTTGATGGCCTCCATCCAGGTGGCTATCTGCGACATGCGCCTGTGCGCACCTTTTTCCGTATTGTCAGTGTAGCCATCATTCTGCTCAAGACATTTGCACTGGGTGCAACCGAAGAGGACGTTGCCGTTAGCCTGGGCCTACTCAGCAGTTCTGTCGACGCATTGCGAACAAGCATCGTGGACGACGTGCATGTTGGCAACCGCTTTGCCGACCTGGTCGAGACACTAACCCATCGTATCCGTTCTCGGTTCGTGCGCCTCACAGCCAATGGGTCAAGTGGCATTTCCCGAGCCGGCAGCAAGAGTCCGGTCCAAGCACCAATGATGCCTCCACCATCTGCGCTCAACAACATCAACCATCTCGCACCACCATACATGGGATCTCAGCAAACGGGCTTCTCGGGATCTGGTACCAGCGTTCCCGGATCACCCAGTATGGGACTGAGTACAAGTGGACGCGCAACTCCTCTCTGGGGCATCTCATCCGAGCCATACGATCCGAACTCGAACAGCATATCCATTATGCCTCCACCAGGCAACTATACCAACTTCTCTGCGAACACCAACGGCAACAATCACAGTAACAGCAATGGCTCAAACTCGAATGGAACCAATGGCACGCAATGGGGTCAGTGGGCAAACAACGGTGGTGGTGGCTGGGGCACCGGCCACGATCAAGACTGGCTTGCGTTACCCCTCGACCCACTGCTGGACCAGTGGGGTGCAGAGATTAATCAGACGGCCATGGGACCGGATATTGGAGGCATGGACATGTTGGATATCTTGTTGAATATGGGGGGTCCACCTGGTAGTGCATAAACACATACGTGGGTTCTTGTTTATCTTTTCTTCTTCTCAGCAGTTTGGGTAACTTTCTGGATAATTTCAGGTTTGATTGGGGGGGGAGGGGTTCATTATTGGATTTTGCATGAATCATGATACGTATGAGGAGTGAAGAAACTTGGAACAAGAAGTATAAGGGTAATGCCAACCTGGATAAGGTCAATTATTTTCATTATGAAGGGGAAAAGTTTAGGTTTATCAATCTTTTCAAATTCTAATAGATCCCGCTGTTCTCTTTTTGAAAAAAGAAGAAGAAGAAGAAACGAGAACAAGCATTCGAGACGGAAATCTTGATGGGATAAAAAAGTTCTCATTACTTCATTCACAATAATATTTCCCGATTTTCCAATAACATCTTTTAAACTTTTCCATGCCCAAACCAAGGCACGCACACAATTACCTTTTGAGCGTCTTCTGCTTCTCCGCATCAACCACGACCTTCTCGCCCGCAACACGAAGCCCCTTGCGCTTCCTCACCTTATCCACATACCGCTTGGCCACATTCTCGCGGTCCGCCAACTCACCCAGATCCTCGAGTTCATCTTCCGTAAAAGGGACCCAGAAGGGATCTTCGTCGAGCATTTCAAATCCTGCAAAGCGGAGCTGGGGCGATGCTGAGCCCGAACTCCTCTTGCGGATCTCGTCGCTGAAGCCAAAGGATTCGGCAACGGGGAGGAGCGCGTTGATGGTGAATGTTTGGGATCCCGTTGTGGACGCCGAGGAAGTTGATGATAGGGTTTCGCTGAGAATGGTGCCTCGCCGACGAGTCAGGACGGCGTAGACACGACCCAGGACATCGGTCGAAGCTTGGATTTCGCAGCTGTACATGGCGAGGAGCATGCGGGGGGACCAGTCAAGGAAGCCCTGGTGGATCGACGAGCGTACGGCTTTGATAACTTCGCCTGTCAGACGGCCACGATCTTGCTGCGCACCTTCTTCTTCGCCCAGGTTCAGCGCCACGGATTCCAAGAAGACGGCGATGCCTTGCACGGGCTCCGCGCAGCAAGGGCCTTGGGCTGTGGCTAGCTGAAAGGCGTAGGCAATAGTTGAGGAAAAGGTGCGGGGGGATATTATGCGGTCTGATGGTTCTTCTGCGTCTGGGTTGGGAGACGATGAGTCGCGTAGTCTAGAATGTTCGTTAGGATGGTTCCAAGAAAAACAGTAATCCGGACATGATCAGAGACTTACGCCTTGCTGCAGATGCCATCTGGGGTTGCATCCACGAGAATGTTAGGTCCTATTCTCCGGGGTCCAAACGCAGTAATCTTCTCAATCACATCGGTCCACACTTCCTTTTGTCCCTTTGCTTCAGCAAAAGCATCTTCAAGCTGCTTTTTGAACTCTTCCAAGCTGAGACTCTGTCCTATCTCACGTTTCTCCGCTTCTTGGATGCCATCGTCTTCAGTTCCATGCTCCTGATGCTCTGCATTTCCGCCTTCGTCTTCTGCTCGTCGGTCAGAGTATAGTTTCTTGATGGCGCCGGCGTTCTTTCCCAAGAAATCGGTGACGCTGGCTGGTAGTGGGCGTACCCGCAGGCGTACTGACACCTGTTTGCTCGCTGTCTCGCCAATAACGGTACCTCTGGGAAGATTAGGGTCCTTTGGCGGATTCATCTCGGCTGCTGCCACAATGGACTCCCGGTAAGGTACGATGGGCTCGCCAGCCTGTATCTCGCACTTGGCGAATCGTTCTTTCAAATCCTTCAAACATCTCTCCAAATGCAGTTCTCCCGCAGTGAGAATCACGTGCTCTCCACTGGGCAGTTGCTCGTATTCTGCGCACGGGTCGCTTTGAACAAGGAGTTTCAAGCCTCTGATCATCTTGTCCAAATCATAGGGGTTCTCAGGCTCAAGGGCAACACGGACAATT